ATGGCAATCATCAGACCGGTCTGCCTTTTGAAATACTTCGGCATGCTGGTCCGAATGATACTCGAAACATACAGCGCGTTTGTGCCCCTGTTGCGTTTGAAAATCATCTCATAGATGCCGGCATGTAAGCTGGCGAAGGTTGTGTCAGTGATGACCATCTCGGACCACACCTGTCAGATCAAATTAGGATTCGTTGCACTTCAAAATGCTCTAGCCAACTCACTTGTTGTACTATCTTTCTTGCCTTTGCCGTAGAGACACAGTCCGACTTGAACTCGATCGGGCATTCGGTGCAGAAGGGAATTTTTGCATCAGGCCCAACCTTTGCCCACACGGATGGAATCCCGTTTTCATTCTTCTCGAGACTTCTTCCACAACTATTGAACTTGCACCATTCCTTCTTGATGCAACTTACCCAAGGAAATTCAGCTTCCTTGGAGAGTGCCAGAATCGCCTCGAAAAGCGACTTAGAACCGGCTTTCAAACCTTTGACTTCCCAGATACCAATGCCGTTTGGAAAGTGACCCCTCGTACGAGAGTATGACTGGGCGATCGGATTATTGAGGTTGTCGACTTTATTAGCCAATTTCAGGAACCCGTCTGCCTTGGCCTGCTGTATTCCATGTTCGGGTTCAATAGACCAGGAGAGATATTCATTATTAGTCGGCCAACAAGGAAGTTGTAACTCGAGAGTTGCTGCAACAGCGGAGCAATGCTTGGCCGTGGTAAGATGGAAGATGCGCTGAATGCAGCTTTCGCTGACAATCCCCTCAAAGTTGAATTGTTCAGAAGCTTCTTTCCTCTTCTCAGGGGTCGGGAACGCTCCCTCGATCGGTGGGAGGGCTCCATGCGCATTCAGATAGAGGCCCAAGGCATTGTCGGCGATGCTTTCGAGGTCATCGATCAAGGTCGGTTGGTAGAACACTTTTTTGAGCACGAATCGCTCATCGAGGTGCGTGTCGTAGAAGCCGAAGTCTTTCGTGCCATGGTTCTGGATGCTGCTTTCATGGGCGGGGAGCAGGCATTGAAGAAATTATCCAGATATTCGGCGGGTGTCGAACCTGCCGGCAAGCCTGGATCTTCAAAGTCATGAAGAGGTGTTTGCTCGCGTTTCTTCCGCTGTTTATTGACTTTCTTGGGCTTAGACAACGCCTGGGGGCTGTTGGACACAAAAACTTTTGCGCGTTTGGTGGGAGAATGTAAAGCTGGCATAGTAGAGGGAAGAAGTCCAATGGCAAGATGGACTGGAGATGACTAGCTTGTAACTTGGAAGCGGGGAGGTGTCGCTGATCAACAGTTATGTAGAAACTAGGAGTGGGATCGATTATAGTAGAACCTTAACAAGGAGCGGCGCTGGGAAGACGGCGATAATGTGGTGATCAACACCGGAGAGGCGATAAAGATAAGCGTTGAGAAGCGGTGAGTAATGAACGATCCACGCTCAAGAACTGAAGCGGAGCCTAATGGGATAACGAAGCGGCGAGATGGATATTGTTGGATACGTATCCATCTCTCCCATATATATATATATATCTATGTCTACTATTCTTTCAAAACATATGCTCAAACATGGATACACGAGTTGTGGATATGTAGTAGATGCGTATACGTCCAATTGTAGATGTTTGTGGGTCCATAAACAACGTTTCGAGGGCAACTTCGGCGCTAAAATGTCACTTTCGTGATCCATGTCAAATTCTGTCACTGGCCCTTGTTGTTCATTTGTTGTTCTCGGACAGGACAGACAACACAGAGTTCTGGTGGTAACAAGTGCTTATTGTACATTATACTCGACTTGACAATGTGGCTGAGGTTACCGTCCCGCCAGCAAGTCTATGACATTCACGGCGGCCACTCATTTTTGTTGTATTTTGGGTCAGATGCTCATGTTCTCGTTCTGAACAAAGGGTAGTGTCATTGCAACAGTGACCTCGCGATGAAGCAACAATGAGAGCGCTGACGTTTCCAAACGTGAGTCCATACAGTCAAACAACCAGTCGCGATGCTGACGAAAACAGGACAACGAATGCTGTCAAGTCACTAAGTAAAGATCTCAAGACAAAAAAGTAGCTAGCAACCAACAGAATTGCATAGGGAAGTGGCAACGTTGGAAGTTCTAACGCATAAAATATCTAATCAGCAAAGCGGAAAGCATCTGGAGGAGGTGGACAGGTAACGCATAAGGATAAAACGGCGGCTAGCGATCGATGCTTCAAATTGGATCATCCCGACTTCTACAGTAATGGAGGTTAGAAAAGGAATCATCGCAAATATGGGTTCAATCTTACTGCGAAGAAAAATATTCTAAGCCACGTTTAAGGGATACATCTGTACTCCCGATTACTATCTTCATACCCGCCTGCGCCAGCAATTCCAGTCGAAGCATTATCCCATCGTCATATTCATCGCTTGCTCTGACATCAACACATAAGAGCTGAGCGACAGGGGAGGTATCTTCATTAACCTCCCACCGTGACTCGAGAAGATCTGCGAATGTGGCGGTAAGTGGTCCAGGAAGTGAAATTTCGAGTGTCTCCAGCTTTGGTAGAAGGATTGTCTTCGATGTTGAGCGCCATGTAAGCCGAGAGAGGAATAGATCGGAAACCATCGTATGGGTCGATGAAGACAACAGGGTCAGATGTTTTAAGGTGGGGATTAGTTCCAGAATACTAAGGAGTTCAGCTTCTGTTATAGCCGTATTTCGAAGGTAAAGAGACTCGATGGCGACTACCCTCGCAAGAAATATCGATAAATGGGAATGAAATGGCCATTCGATGTTACAGATGCGGAGCGATCGTAGTTGTGGCGCGGTCAGGTTACGAAAGAGAATATGTGTTTCGATAACTTCGTGGTCCTCAGATGCTAAAAGAGCAAGATCTTTCAACTTTTCATGCTTGAAAGGTGTCGGACTGGGTATGGGAAGGTTACAGAATTCCTCGGTATAAATGAACGATGCCGTTTCGAGATGAGGTGCGCGTCGTAGGATGTCAAGTGCGTCGTCGATGGTTACAGTCATAATGGGGATTTCTGATAGGTTTGACCAAGGAAGTTTGAACATGTACGGATGGAGGTTGACACATTGGAGAGATCGAAGCTTTGGTGCTAGCTCAAATGTGTCGAGTATTGGGTCAGTGGTAGGTGGTTCGTCCAAAGTGCCCAGGCTGAGCTCGGTAAGCGTCGGCAATTTACCACGCGCAGGAAACAGAGCGGAGTATGCGGCCATTGGAAGGAAGAAGTACATACTCTGCCAATGAAAGGAGTGCTGCACTAGGATATCAAGTATGGCATGAGATGGGAAGTATGGGGGATCGTCCCACATAACGTATATGTGCAGTGGACATGTCCCAGATCGTGTTAACCAAGTAGAAACAATGTCTGTTTGGTGTGTGGCGTTTGGTTTAATATTAAGGTATAGTCTAGACCAGAGCGATTTTGTGCCGATGGCAACGGTTCGCCATGAGTGACAGATCTTGGTCAAGAGGAGGGGGATATCTATGGTGTTTGGTAGGGTCAAGCTGCCTTCTATATCCGTACATTGAAGAAAGATCTTGGATAGGATCTCAGTAGGCAATCCTGTGGGCCCTGAAAGAGAAGCAGAATGTGATAGTTTTTTCATGATGTTGGATTCGGATTCCAAGCAGTCAGGCTCGTCGATCAAGGAGATCGATAATGAATAATAGACGTCGGCTAGAGAGGAACGCTTGTAGACGAGGAAAGACCGGCAAACACAACAAATATCTCCTGATCAGAAACGTTTGAAAGTTGTGCTCCGCAATGGACGAGATTTCTGTAAATTCCGGAGGAAAGGAGCGAATTTGCCACTTCCAGTTGATCTCATCTGATCTCATCTGATCTCATCACGTTGGTCTCATCCTGACGATAAAGCTAGAGTAAACACTAACAAACTAAGCTCATTACCGGCCGTCATCAACGTTGTCGACGTCGTCTCCCAACAGAGAATGCCCTTGGAATGCCTTGACCTTTTTTGCGCCACAAATCTCCACATCTATATACCACGAATTTGCCACCTTTCGCCTCACAATCTCGCTGGACCCCACAGACCAAATATTTCGTAAAGAATGACTCGTGAATTTCTTGCCATTTTCGACTGCATCTCCGAATTAAAATTCTCAAGTCCTAGCTGGACTATTTGCGATCCATGATTGCACTTGGTGACGCTGCTATGCGCTCCGCCGGGCCGCCTCTTCTTAGGCGCACCGTTCTCGTGGCCCGAATGTCCATGTCATACCCTCTTGGAGCATCATCTGACCATGTGCGCCTTGTTGCCATCTTCGTGTTGCAATTCCCTTTCAGGAACACAAATGTTCTGCACGCGTATATAACGCCTGCGTCGATGACCGCACCTTTGCGCTCACGTTTGGACCAATATGGCATCGTTGGGTGGCATATTTCTTAGGTTTCTTCCCATCTTATTGCTCAGTCAGTCGCGGTATTAAGATTCTAAACCTTGACTCTCGACGCTAACGTCATCCTTTGTACCACAGTCGCGCCTGTCTATGGCTTGATTAACCCAATCTTGCCAGGCTGGAATCCTGACCCGAGCATCCTCCGCGTTGGCTCTGATTATTTCATAGCGACGTCAACATTTGAGTATTACCCTGGGCATCCCATCTACCACAGCAAAGACTTGGTGAACTGGGAACTTATTGGACACGCTCTTAACCGACCCTCGCAGCTCCATTTATATGGCACCCCTTCGGACGCTGGTCAGTGCCTTCAGAACCTTTGATAGTCTCAC